AATATGAAAACAGCCCCTAACATATAGAACCTAAGAGTATGTGTGGCCCATTTAATGGCCAAAGTTTCCTTTTCTATAGCTGAGTATTTCTGTTCTCAGGGCTTAAGTTTCCTGTTTAGGTATAAGATGTTCTTCCCCATTCTCTTGCTGAGTGAGTACTGCCTCTTAACCTTGGTCAGATGCATTTGTTTGCAATAAGAAAGGTAGTGAGAAATTACGAGCATGTTGTATGGGGTTGTGTCTTATCTGAGGCTAGATGTCCCTCAACTTCCTTCTCAAGTTGAAGGAAGGAATTTCCCTTCTGGGATTGTAAAGCGAAAAAGCCCTCCTAAACACAGCGGGGAGCCATTTTGCACAGCGGGTGGCCATTTTGAACCAGATGATCAGCTGTTTTCTGATCGTTGTTAAGCAAAAAATCAGTTCCCGAAACTGAAACGATCATCATCAAGTGAAAAAAGCCCTTTGAAAAATCATTTTGCGATTGCAATAGTGATCGCAAAAACATCGTCGTGAAGCGATTTCATTGCATAACAAGGTAATCATCAAGCGGGGCACCACTGTACAGTATATATCTGACAGCCAAGGCCACTCTGGGCGATTTAAAACAACATAGAAGAACAAACATAAAACAACAAAGTAACAAAATGGCAAATAACACGGGAGAAAATCAAAAGTCATAAATTATAACACAATAATTACAATGAAAACAGTAGACCAATATAAAAACATGGAGCATGACAATATGATGATATAACTTCTATCGGGCACTATTGGATCAGAGTGTAGTGTGAATTGACAACAACAACTTGAAACATCCAAGAACTGCTGAACTTCCTACTTATGCCTCCCCTGGCTGCTGCTGTTTGAGAGTTGTCTATGTACTCTTTATCTTCTCTTATACCACTTGTTGCTCCACTTCTCTCATTTTCTCTTTCAACAGTGCAACCAGTTGGCATCTGCTGAATGTGAATACCATATTATCAGGCAGTAACATGAACACTGCACACACTTTGCAGTTCACTACGACAAAACTGTCTCTTCCCTCCATGATCCCTACGTTTATAACTTTTAATTTTCTTCGGTCTACGAAGATTTTGCTTTGCCTTGCCTGCCTTGAAAGATACTGAAAAAGTCAAGTAATATAAGACTACATACAGAAACCAAAAGTTTTCTTAGGGGCCTCCTCCCTGGCCTCCCCTTCTGAATTCATAGAATAATAGAAAAGTGAAGTTGGAAGGGGCCTACAAGGCCATCAAGTCCAACTCCATGCTCAATGCAAGAATACAATCAAAGACCATCTGGCAGGTGATTATTCAAGTTTTTCTTGAATGCCCCCAGTGTTGGAGCACTCACCAACTCCAAAGGTCACTGGTTCCACTGCAGTACTGCTCTAACAGTTAGGAAGTTTTTCCTGATATTCAACCAAAATCTGGCTTCCTTTAACTTGAGCTCATTGTTGCGTGTCCTGCACTCTGGCATGACCAAGAATACATCCTGCCCCTCTTCTGTATAAAAGCCTTTCAAATACTAGAAAAGTGCTATCCTATCACCCCTCAGTCTTATTTTCTCGAAGCTAAACATGCCCAGTTCTTTCAGCCTTTCCTCATAAGGCTTGGTTTCCAGCCCCCTGATCATTCTTGTCACCCACCTGTGAACTTGTTCCAATTTGTTAGCATCCTTCTTGAAGTGTGGTGTCCAGAACTGGACCCAGTACTCAAGTTGAGGCCTAACCAGTGCTGAACAGAGGGAGACTAGCACCTCATGGGATTTGGAAGCTACATTTCTATTAATGCAGCCTAGAATAACATTAGCCTTTTTTGTAGCCACATCACATTGTTAGCTCATGTTTAGCTTGTAATCTATGACAATTTCAAGATCCTTCTTGCTCATAGATTTGCTGAGCCAGGTATTCCCCATCTTGTAATTTAGGGTGTGTTTGGTTTCTTTTTCTTAGGTGCAGGACTTTGCTTATCCCTGTTGAATTTCATTCTGTTGCTTTTGGCCCAGTGCTCCATCCTATCAAGGTCATTTTCAATTTTGTTTCTGTCTTCTAGGGTATTATTCCACTCCATTTTGCTATCATCTGCAAATTTGACAAGCATTCCCTGCACTTCCTTATCCAAGTCATCAATAAAAATATTGAAGAGCACCAGGCCAAGGACTGAGCTTTGGAGTACCCCACTGGTTACCTCCTCCCAGTTAGAGAAGGACCCATTAATCATCACCCTCTGAGTATGATTCAGTAGCCAATTGTGTTTCCTCCTGACACTTGATCTATCCGGCCCACATCTAGTTAGTTTGCTAACCAGGATATTATGGGGCACTTTGTCAAAAGCTTTGCTGAAGTCAAGATATACTATGTTTACAGCATTTCCTCTGTCTATCAGGGAGGTGACCTGATCAAAAAATGAGATCCAATTAGTTTGGCAGGATTTGTTGTTGACAAATCTGAGTTGGCTTCTAGTTATTACTTCATTGTTTTCTAGGTGCTTGGCACAATGACCACTTTACGATCTTCCTCTATAAAATTGCTGTTTGCTCTCCCTAGTCACTCGCTTCTTGGCATCTATATAAATTTTATTTCTCTGCTGTGCTGTTAGGAGTCAACAAAGATAATGCCCCTCCCAGCACTCACAGCTGCTACTTGTTACTTTGAGCAATGCCCCTTCCTCTTAAGCTGAGCACATGGTACTTCTGAACAGTTTACTTACTGGAGTTACTCCAGATCAACTATTGGTGTTAATCTAAGTCACTCAGTTCTATGCCTTTAGTCTCTTCCTCTTTTCTTTTGTCTCTTTCTCCACTAGACCCTTACCTTATTACCCCCTCTTCTTTCAAAACTCCTGTTTGTTCTGCCTGTTCAGGTCGCTTGCTGACTGCAGTCTGCCTCTGCCTCAGTTTCATTCCTGCGCTGTGCTCTGTTAGTCATCAGCAAACAAAATCAGAATTCAAATATTAAAGCTTGCATAGGACTGATGAGAACCTTGGTTATTTCACTTGCTTCCCTACAAATATCCTGTTTCTGGAAGAGAGATTAATTTTTGACATCTTGGAAGCTAAACTGTTATGAAGACTGTATAATATAACTTTTCTCTAAGACATTTTCCTCTGTTAAAGCTTCTTCTCGAATTATAAAGAGAAACTGAGAACATAACATGAATATACTATTTAACTTGACTAGTATTTATAGTTATATTTCTTTCCGAAAGAATTATATAGAAGACGAACATGAAATACAGAAATACACTGGACTTCAATGATCACACCGAACTTTAAGCACAGTTCAAAAAGCGTTTTTTTTTAAACACCACCAGCAACACTTTGCTCTGCTTCTACTATGAGGAATATCTGATTAAAAAAAAAGAGTCAAACTTTAGGATCTATGGTGATATTTTGGAACACCTATAGGCAAAAGCATTTCCATTTTTTAAAATCAAAGAACGTGTATTAAACTAATATGTTATAATATTTGTGAAATTGCACGCCATATGGTACATCTACCAAAAGATGTTGAGAATGTCAAAGAAAAATGCAAAATATTTTTACATATAATGAAACCATACAAAACCAAATGGATACTGGATAAAAATGGAAAATAATTTGTTGGTGGTGACATGAATTTGGAAACTAGA